ATATCAAATTTCTAGGAAGCAGAATTCTGTTTGGCGTCAGCGTCGGCTTCTTTCCCCCCCCCATTTCCTGCTCTCGCGTCGAGGCCCTCGCATCCTGACCTTTGATTATGCTCTCCGCCGGTCATATTTGCGGTCTTCCGCTGGCGGCGAGGGATGTCGCGCGCTGCGAGAGGTGGCCGAGAGATCCTGCGCCGCTCGGCATTTTTCCTTGGTGCGCAGCATGGTCTCCTGGGTGACCTTCTGCGCCCTTTGGTCCCGCTTCTGGTGGCCCTGGGCGCGCTCCTCGTCGCCCCGGACGCGCACCTGGCTCTCCTTCATCGTCGTCGCGCAACGTCGGTTGCGACAGCGGCGACCAGAAAGAAGATTCGCACTGCCGCACGTCACGCACTTCCATCCTTGCCACGCTGCCGCCCAGCCATATTTCCAGAAACTGCTTTGCCACAAGAGCCATGCCTGACCCGGATGTGGCGCGCCGGGGACCCCCCCCAAAAAAAAGCGCAGCTGCGCGAAGTCGCCGAGCTCGCCGATGCCAAGCTGGTGGCCCGCGGCGGCGGCGCCGCTTCGGCGTGCCTCCGCCTGGAGGCCGCGGGCCAGCGGGCCGCGCCGAGGCGCGCCCCCCCTCGCGCGGAGGGCCCGATGGCGCGGCGCGGCGGCGGCGCCCGCGGCAGGCGGGCCCCCCCTGCGTGGGAAAGGTCATGGCTTAAGCTGTTCCTTCCTTCATCCCTCCGCCGGTTGCCCCCGCAATGCAATTCCCCAGCCGTGTGATCGATTCTCGCGCGAAGATCGGTGGGCTGACCTGGGCCCCGGGCGTCGTGGACAAATCTATGCCACCCAGTTTTCCTATGTTTTAGTCCACGGGTTGGAGGCAGGGGCCTCAGGAGGGGGGCGGCGAGAGCGGTTGGAGAAGGGCTAGGGGGGCGGGGGCGCAGCGGGGGGGGGCGGAAGGGGGGGCCCTGAATCCTGACGACGCAGAGTTCCAGGTTCGCATGGGAGGTCTTGCCGACAGATTGTCGCCCGGGGGGGGCGGTCGGGTCTGCTTCGGAGGGCGAGCCTGCAGAACCAAAGGCGCCCTTGCTTGCCAGCGCGCTTGGCGCCGGCGCCCGCGTCGTCGACGCTCCCATGCGGATTTCGCAGCATTTGCTCTGAACGCTCCCGTTATACGTTGCGCGATAATCGCAACCTGGGTGGAGAGACGGGGGGGCGGGGGCGCCCCGCTGCGCCGGGAGTGCTTGTAGTGGGCGCGGGGGCGATGGGAAATTAGATGAAACCACGGCTGCCCGCGCAAATTGCGCTTCCAGTTGCGCCCCAAATAGCGGCCTCAATTTTGCCCAACATAGGTCCCTAAATTGTCGGTGCTTGTGGAAACATTGTCGGTGCTCGTGGAAGCATATGGTCTCAGCGCAGCGGGGTGGCCTGACCATGGGCTGACGCGCGTCGCTCGGGGAAGCGCTAGTTGGCGCGCAATGCGTAGCTCTATTTGGAGCACTTCGCGACCCTGTGCGCTTCAAGTCGCCCTCCGAACAGCGCCAAGATTGCGCGCGTCGCCATAGCGCGACATGGCTTGGCGCAGCCGCAAATGTCAGACATTATTCAAAATTTATCGACTGGACCGCGGGGCCTCTGCTGGCGGGGGGCGGTGCGGCCCTTGTGCCTGTCAGTTGCGTCTCATGTCCATTTCCTGTTCTGGGGCGCTGCAGCCAGGGTTGCCCGCGGGAGAGCCCCCAGCCCTCCGGGGCGCCCTCCGCAGGAGAGGGCTTGGGAAAGGGGCTCGAGACTTCCAGGGGCAGGCGACGCGAGGTCATCATCGCGTCGGAAGACCAGGGAGGGAGGTCGGCGTTGCGCCCGACGGGGGCCAGCGCCGCGAGGAGGCGCGGGGGGGGCGTCGCAAAAGCACCTCCCATCACTTGGGAAGTCTCAGGTGTGCCCGACCCCTTTTCAAGATGCACCTCGATATTTCAGAGGGGAGCAGACTGACACCGCCATTCGTTCTGGAGGGCCAACGCCGCCACGGCTGAATTTTCTTCTAGAGGCTCCCGTGCCAGACGCTACACCTCGCGCCGAAATGCGCCGACGACCTGGCCGTCGGCCTGGTCTGCAGGGCGGGGGATGCTGCTCTTCTTGAGCGGACTTTCGACGAGTGCGAGCGACTGTCGGGGCCGCGATTACTCCGTGGCAAAACGGTCTTGACCCCGCTCTCGCGGGGACCAATCGACCGCGCGCGGGAGTCTACGGGCGGCCGCGCCCGCGTGGAGCGACTTCACCATCCGCCGCCGCGCAACCTATCTGGGCTTCTCAGTCGTCGCGAGCGAATCCGTTAGAAGTTCCCATCCTTGGCCGAGGTGCGGTGGGGCATCGGCTGCGGCATGCTGCTAATCTTATTGGTTTACCGCGCTTGCATGTCCCCCGCGCCACTCATTGTCCTGCAGGCGGCAGCTGGGGCGCCGCGGGGCAGCAGGCGCGCGCCCTCCTCTTCCCGGGCCCCCGCTGCCGGGCTACCCTGGCGGCGCTTCAGAGCTCGCGTCCCGCGGGGTTCCAAGCAGAATAAGTCGACGCCCCCTCCGCGGCGATCGCGGCGAAATGGCGGGTGCGTCGATGGGAAAATATAGCGCGTGGAAGTCTTCGGGCGCGTCGTCGCCTTCGGCTTATGGGCGCGCTGTGCTTGGATTCCGACCGCTAGGATCGATCGGTTGCTCGGGGCAGCTGGCGCGGCCGGAACTGCTTTAAGAATCTCGCAGAGGCGCGCGACCATCTTGGCTGACGAGCAGCAGCAGCCAGGCTGTCGGTCGAGGCCGTGGTCCAGGACGACGCGCCGGAACCCGTGCCGAGGACTGAGTGGCAGAAGCGGCGCCGGGCTCTCTTGGCGGACCCGAGCCCGCAGGGCGCCGCTCGCCGCTTCGACCGCTGCCTCGCTCGCGTCCACATCGCGGCGTTCCGACGGCGTCACTCGGGGCGCGCGACGCTCGCGCTCCGCTGCGCGGCCCCCTCGATGCCCCCGCGGGCGCGGTCGTCGGCGCGCCGCGCCACGTGCTGTGGCTGGGCGACGGGGCGCCGCGTGCAGCGGCCAGCGCGCCGTGCCTACGCGCGCGCACGCGGCGAGGACTGCGTCGAGCACTACATCCACTGCCCCAAAGGTCGCGCTGTTCGGGCGCAGGCAGCCGGCGTTGGCTACGTTTCTCTCACTCCTCGCTTCTCTCGCTCCGTTTTTTACAAGAGAGAGAGAGAGAGAGAGACAACAAAAACAACAAAATAAAGACAACACAAAAAACACGGCGAGCAGCATCGCTCGCCGGGCCCTGTCGGTGCATTGCGCGCGCGCGGCATCCACTGCGGCGCCCCACGGGGCCACCTGCAACGCGCGGGAGGCCATGTGGTGATGCTCCAGGGAAGCTCGTGCTGCGCATCCTCGCTTCGCAACGCTCGTGGCAGCAGCGTGGCAAGCTGATTTTGTTATTTCTCTGTTCTTCGCATCTCTCGTCGTCGCCGTCGCTCTCGTTTGTTGCCCAGCGCCTTCTTTAGTGTTTGCTCGCACTGAGCCGCCAACGAGCGCGACAACCAGTGAGCGCGCCTGCTTGGTCAATGGGGCGCCCACACGCGATGCGCGATGCCCGTGCCCTTTCTCGGAGACGTTCGCAGGACAGCCCTGCGACAAACAAGATAGTTGCAGCGCGCTTTGCGAGGCGAGTTGTGTATATCGTCGCCGTCCGCTCCCTTCTCCTGCTCTTTTTAAAAATATGGCACCCGATCCGTCCCACCCATCAATTCCTATTGCGCTGACGTTTTCTCTATCCGTGGACGCGCGTCAAAACCGACCTCGCACTCCAACGCCAAGACGCGATCATGTAAATGATGCGCGCCTGGACGAGGAAAGTTGCGGCGTGGGCAGGGGGGGGGGCTGGGGGGGATGGTTCGGTCAAGTTGGCGATTTTGCTCGGCCCAGGTGGGCCCACTGATGAACCAAGATGGTTCAGGAGAGTGCCGGGAGGCCGCCCGGGATTGGGCAGGGGAGGGGGGAGGGCGAAGATGAATCATAGTAGGCACGACCGAAATTGGTACGGGAAGGACGAGGGAGAGGACCGGCAGCAACCCGTGTCCATCTTGAACCGTTGAACCGGGGTCTTTGTCGATTGCGCCGCGGGCGCTGTCCGTTTGAGACGAAGGTCGCGATCCCAACATCCACCAGTGTCGGTTTTGGACACGGTTATCTGTTGGAGACCACGCAAAGTGTTGCTTTACCGATTTCGAGCGTGCTGAGCGTGGGCGCTGCGTTGGTGTCGGAGGACGGCGCGGGAAGAGAGGCTGGAAGAAACGCCTGCGGCGGGGAGCGAAAAGATTGAGTTGTTTTTTTGTTGGCGCGTACAGTCGGGCCGCTGAAGAAGGAACCCTTTTGTGTTGGGAGGGTCTCAGCGCTCCTTATTAGTTTACAAATTGTCCCAGGTAGTCCTTCAGGTTTTCCACGGCATCGAAGCTTAACTCATTGAATAAAAGCGGCCTCGTTCCTTATTTATGGTTCCTTATGACAGCGTTTCGACTGCAACGGTCGTTACCCAAGCCAGCCCCGTCCCTCCACCCAGACAGCGGTGACGATCGTATTTAGGGGCTCGGGCCCTCCGCACAGGCTGGTGCTCGCGCGCGCACTCCGGCGACCGCGGCACAACCCCGCCTCGACGTGCCTCACCCTGCCCACCAACCCCCCTCCCATGGGTAACGACAGTTACAGCCAAGTCGTTGAAATGAGGAACAGTTTGGGTATGAAAGCGGCTCGATATTCCTCAGGTCCTTCGATGGTTTTTCCTCTAGCCTTCCTCGTGCACGCAGGCGCTTGTGGGGCAAATTGTTCATCGTTCCTTCTTTCAGCAGCCCGACGGTACGCGAAACCACGAAGCACAATCGGAACACAACCTCGAAGGAGCCGAGGACGAAAGGGGCTCGGGCTCGGGCTCCGCCGAGCTCCGCCCGGCGGCGCCGCCCGCGAGCCGCGCGCACCCTCGGCCGCCGAGGAGAGCTCCAAGATCGCGGCCCTGGAGAGCAGCATTGCGGACCTCCGCCACGCCGTCCAGATGCTCTGATTGAAGGGGCCCTGGGACACACAAATAGATACACACAAATAAAAAGAGTACCCATGTTTTCCCATATCTTCTGAGTTTTTGTTCGCCCCCCCCACTTCCCATGTTTTCCCATATTTTCCTGGGAGTGGACGATTAATTGTGTCTGTGTGTTTTTTTCCCTCCTGACTGATGGGGGTGCCTCCTGCCCCACACACAGACATAAGTTGTTGGTGCTGCGCGCGGATGTTTCGGATCGGCTCTGGAGCCCCTGAGCGGCGCCGATCCGCGATATCCGCGCGGACCCGCGAAAGCTTATTTTTGTGTCATTGCTTGTTCTTCTAACCTTGGCGGATTCTGGGGTTGCTTCGGTCCAGGTGTTTTTGATCAGTTCGAGTCTGGGGGGGTGGGGGGGCGTTCCCGAGATTGTCTTTGTTATCCTCTGGCGCGCAACGGTCGTTGCCTGGGCGGGCTAAAACCCTTCCCCGCTGTCTCCCAGGTAACGGTAACGATCGTGCGTAGGTCTGAGATATTTGGAATGCTTTGGGGATATGAATTAAAACCCATCAGCAAAGGTGATTTTCGAGCTGTCAGAAATCATTGCAGTTTCTGGCAAGCGGAAGTAAAGCTGGAAAACAAGCTGAGGCAAGAAAATGAAGCTGGACAGCGAACTGGGCGTAGGGCGGGGGTCTGGGGGCGTGTGGGCCCCCCCCGCATGATATTGTTCATGCGGCATGCTATGACGATCGCAGCGTACCCCCGCCCAGGCGTGCCCCAGGCGTCACGGTTACCCGGGGCCCAAAGGTCTAGGCCTCCTAGATGGGGTCGGAGTAGATGGGGTCGGAGGATCGCGCCGCATCGCCGATGCATTCACGATGCGGCTCGATGCGGAGCCCGATTTTCTCCACGCCGGCTTCGCCGATGCATCGCCCACGTCGGCGATGCATCGCCGGTGCATCACCGATGCTTCGCCGGTACATCACCGATGCGGCGCCATCCTCCGACCCCATCTACTCTGACCCCATCTAGGAGGCCTGTGACAGGGCCCCGAGTTCATTGGCAACGAGCCCTAGACGCAAGGTTGTTGTCCTTGGGGGAAGGGGTCGGGACTGTGCGGGGCCGGCGGACTCAAGACAGTTTTTTTTGCTAGAGCGGCGCAGAGGTCGACGAGGCCAGCATCTCTCCTCTCCCCTGCAGCGCGCGAGGCACGCCGCCTGCCACCGCCCGCCGTGGCTGCGCATTGGAGACGCCCGCCGCGCGCGCAGGACATCGAGAAGCAGCTCGGCGTGCTCGACCCGTCGTGCCCCTTCTCGGACCTGCAGAGCGCCGTGACCCTGCTGCAGAAGCGGGTGTCCCTGCTGGACGCCCCCCGCCAGCGACGGCGGCGGCGGCGACGACGGCGACGACAACCACGACAAAGAGCAACGCCGCCGCCGCCCGCGACGACGACGACGACGACGAAGATGACGACTGACGACTGACGACGACGACGACTGACGACGACACGGCGACGACGACGACGACGACGACGACGACGGCAACGAGGAGGACTGTTCGACGAACGTCGAGCGGGCCCTCGTGGCGGCGCGCGGGCAGCGTTCCTGGGGGCTTCCCTGCTTCGCCTGGGCCCCCCGCCCGCTCGCGATGCTTCACGCTGGGGGCCTGTAGCACTAAGTCGGGCGTGTCCCTCTACAGGAGGAATATTCCAAAATAGTCAAAAAATAGTCTGGGGACCATTTTTTGAGTATTTATTAACCATTTGGGTGTCTCCTCGGGGCATTAATTTTTTTTTCGTCCAAAGCCCCCCTGCAGGGGGACAGGCCCGACTTAACTGTAGCACTTCGTCAAGATGCATTCTCCTGTCAGGCAGCACCGTTGTCTTGACGGAGATCTGTTCCGATATTCTCCCAGCGGCAATGTCGGGAAGCGTGGCGTGCTAGGCCACGAACATTTCGATTCCCAGCCCCACGCCGTACCCAACACGTCGCCCTTCGTGACGCCATACCCGACGCCATACCCGACGCCCTACCCGACACAAAATCCAGCGCCTTACCCGACGTTTCCTCATGCGGTTGCCATTTGCGATACCCATTTGCAGAAAGTTCTTGGTCAGCGGTTCGATGTGATGAAGCCAGGCGACCATGATCTACGAATCATCTTCGTGGAAGGCATAAGAAGCATTTCTTCCTGTCCAGGCCAATGCGCGACAGTTGGGTGGACAACGTGCAGACATGTAACTATTTCCAATAGCTGCATATCACAGGGGAGTGGGTTGAGGCGCGAGGGACCAGAGGTCTCTGTTTTCATGCTCAGGGCGTGCATGACGAAGAGCCGAAGTAGTTTGGTAAGGTGCAGGTGAAGTTGCCCATGAGCTTTTGCGGGGGCGGGTCCAATTGTGTGAAATTCCACGTGAAGCATCTTGGGCAGTCTGGGTTCGCAGACGGAGGAACACTACTTAAAGATGATCACACGGGACAGCGATGCTTGAAGAAGCATGTGCACGCCACACAGGTCGTCCCAGGCGGATCAAAGTTTGCTCGTTTTCTCGGTTGCAGGGGCAAGGTTCGCTTGACGGCACGTGCATTGAACGATTTCATGATGGGAAGCCATGCTCACCTTCGCGGTAAGCGCAAACAATTCACGGTAGCATCCCGTGGCATTATGCATTCGTTGGATGCACAGGGTAGCATTTTTTGGCATTGTTTGTGCCTTGATGTCACAGGGCATTGTCCTGTGGCATCCTCATTTTGCTCGGAGTCGGGTGGCATCCCGTCGCTCGAGTTGCGTTTACCTTGCGAGCAAACACACAACCCAATTGCAAGCCGTGCGACTGCGGGCCAGCCTTGCACACGTCGAGCCGTGAGTTGCGCCGTTCGAGGCCTCACACTGTGACCAGAGAGTCGGCCACCACCACACCAGACATTGTCTCTGCCATATTTCTGGCCTCCTGGGCCTGCGTGTTTGGGCATGGCACCGCGCCAAAGTTTGCTACAAAGGCACCGCAAAGAGTTAACGAGGTCCAGCCAGGCCTCAAAGATCCGTAAGAGGCCACCAAGGCGCTAGTATTGTCCTAAGATAGCCTCCAACAGTCCCCCAAGTACGTAGTCCATGGAGCGCTCGGAGAGACAAACGCCATCAAGCTTCTTGAAACAGTCGCGAATCTGTCGTATTCTCGATGCATCAGATGAAGATCGCTCCAGGCAGGACCCCAGAGGCTCCCCAGAGGGCCCCGCAGGTCCACAAGAGTTCCTAAGATGGCCAAGGGCGCCCTCAAGATGTCTCACGATCTGGGCTGGTCACCATGGTGGCCCCAATACGGCGATGGACGACGACGACGACGACGACGACCCCGAATCAGGCGAATGGGCTAGCAGGCAATTGGGGAGTCTGGGCTCGCCTCGACCTCACCGATAGGGGGGTGAACCGCGAAAAAAAATGTGAACCCCAGGGTGAGGAGAGGTTCAGGAGAAGACGAGGAGGATCGAGGATCGAGGAGGTCCGAGGATCGAGGGTCGAGGGAAGTCGAGGAGAAGACGGAGGAGGAGGAGGAGGAGGAGGAGGAGGAGGAGGAGGAGGAGGAGGAGGAGAGGGAGGAGTGGAAGGGGAAGACGGAGAGAGGGAGCGAGGGAAGACCACAGCCTCGCTACAGCCGCCTCCCCCCTTCTCCAGGTGGATGCCCGAGCCACGTAGTTGCCTCACGCCCATCCAGGCGCAGCCGCCTGCCTAACAGGATACAGGGGCTCCCACAGCTACCCTGGAGGCCATGACCGGTCCCTGCCTCACGGGGGAGTCGATGGATGAGGAGAGACAGGGCTGGACCTACACGGTGTTTTGGCGATTTCGTGGGCCGTTTTCGTTTCGACTTCTTTTTGCGGTAGAGGTGGATTGAAGACAAAACGAGGAAAAACGAAACAAAACGAAAACGGAAAACACCGCTTAGGTTCAGCCCTGATGCGAGGGGCGCAGGAAGACCTAGGATGATGAAGCGGTGGAAGAGGAGGCGTAGGAGGAGAAGGGAGGACCAGAGGAGGTGCAGGAGGAGGAGGAGCAGGAGGAGGATGAGGAGGAGGAGGTTCGGCTCTCCTCGGAAGCAAGGCGCACGACCTCGGCAGCCAGGGGGGTGCGCCTCCAATGAGCGGCACAGCCCATGAGGAGGAGGAGGAGGACGAGAAGGAGGAGGAGCAAGGAGGAGGAAGAGGAGTGGGAAGAGGCAGAACGCAGAGGATGAGAAGGAGGCGGAGGAGAAGGAGGCGGAGGAAGAGGAGGAGGAGGAGGAAGAGGAGGAGGAGGAGGAGGAGGAGGGAGATGAGGAGGATGAGTGGCAACGTCGTCACAGTGCAACGCAGTAGGGAGTGAGCCGCAGAAGAGGTCAGAGTGACTGATGCACGACTGGGACGCTTCGAAACCAACAGTTCCAATTCAGGCCAGCCCTGCAATGTTTAATCGTATAACGACGTTCGGCACATTCAGGGGAACTCGTTGGTCGCACGTTGGATGCTCAGAGCACGAAGCGCCAACTTCGCATGTTGGATGATGGTAAAGCAAAAACAGCTTTAGTTCGATAATTCTGCCGATGCGGGTGGATGTGTAAGTAAGATTGTTGTGTTTAACAGGAAACGAGGGAGGGAGCGGATGATGATGATGATGATGATGATGATGATGATGATGATGATGATGATGATGATGATGATGATGTTCATGGTGATGATGATGATGATGATTGTGGTGGTGATGGTGATGATGATGGTGATGGTGATGATGGTGGTGATGATGATGATGGTGATGATGATGATGGTGATTATGAAGGTGATGATGATGATGATGGTGATGGTTGTGGTGGTGATGCTGCTGGTGATTGTGCTGGTGATGGGGAACATGATGATGGTGATGGTGATGATGCCGAGTATACTGATCCTTAATGTGAGCATGATGATGCTGACGGTGACGTTGATGTTATTGGTGATGTTGATGATGGTGATGGAGTTGGTGAAGATATTGATGCTGATGATGATTATGTTGATATATATATATATATATATATATCGATGACGATGGCGATGGCGACGATGATGATACTAACGATACTGGCGATGCTGCTGATGATCACGCTGCCGATGCTGATGCAGATGATGATGCTGACGATGATGATGATGATGATGATGATGATGATGATGATGATGATGATGCTGATGATGATGATGGTGCTGATTCTGATGCTGATGATGATGCTGCTGATGATGATGGTGATGATGATGGTGGTGGTGATGATGATGGTGCTGATGATGATTATGCTGCTGCTGCTGGTGACGACGATGATGATTCTGAAAACGAGGGGAATCCGCATGACCCGGCGGTAAGATGAGGATTCTGAAACATGAAAATGATGAGAACGCCGATGGTAAGCAGGGATGGTTGTGATGTTGTTGGGGATGACGAGCTCGACGAGGACGGTGATGATGACGACGAGGATCAAACTAATGCTGCTGATGAGGAGAACGATGAGGATGATACATAAGGAAAGGATAATATGGAGTGGTATGATGAGGCGGAGCAAGATGAGACATCGCGGGAGAAGGAGGCGGATGAGGATGCAGAGAATTTCGGGGATCAGGAGCAGAGGAGGAGGAGGACGAATATGAGCAAGCAGGAACATGATGAAGGAGAAAGGGGATGACGATGAGCACAGGAGGAGGAGGAGGGAGAAGGAGGTTGACTAAGGAGATGAGGGTGGAAGATGGATAAGCAGGAGAGGTCTGAGAAGATCGATGGCCCATGGGCGACACCAGCCGCGCCTGGCAACAAATGAGTACATCACACCGTGTTGCACGCCAACGCAATCGAAAACGATGCTTTCAAAGTATTTCGCAGCCAGTTTCCATTTCTCTCTTACGACATGTGTCTAGTAGGGATGTATAGATGACCGGGTTGGATGGCACGCCCACCCACCCCCGTTCCAAGGACAGCAAGAAGCTCGACAGCATCAGAACGGGTGTCGACAGGGCTTGATGCTTCTTCTCTTTGTCTCCCTCCCCCCCGCGTCTCCCGAATCCCTTGAATGCATTTAGAGTCCAGAAGCGTGCGTAGCCGCCAGGCCGCCCGCTCGATACATGGTTGTTCGGGCCACCTGTCCCGGGATCGAGACGTGCGTTGTCGACAGCGTGCATGGTCGAAAGAGGCATGCTTTGTTGACGGCAATTTCCACGAAGGTGCCGTCTAATCGGAGCTCACGCGCCACGCGCCCATGCAGCGTGTCTTGACTTCGTTTTGATATGTAGGTGAAGGGGCATAATGAATTGCGGACGCGATGGCGAGATCTTTTAGCAGGCATCACAGGTCTATTGTACAACGCGTGCGTAGTAACAGTTTTGCATATGATTTGCCATGGTTCATTCCCCCTCTTGCAGCAAGGTGTCCAGCGATATTGAGAAAGCGCTGAAGAAGAAGGCCCGCCTGATCTGCGCGCCCTCCGTCTACCCAGGCTTACCTTCGCACCTGAACGGGCGCTCAAGGCTATCGCAAGGGGATAACCACAGAGAGATCTCCGACTGGGCCGACGCGAGCCAGAGAGCGAAATGCGAATTGAGAGCCAGGGCGGCGCCCAAAGCATGGCGAAGGACATGGGATGGGATGTAACGAACGGGCAGGTGAGGGGAAGAGTGGAGATCGCAGGCCCAGAGATTGACACCAACACCAATATCGGCGGTGTGCCTCCACCGAGGGAAGAAGATCCCGATTTCGGTGATGATGGTAATATTCAGGCTTCAGGGTGGCCGAAATATTACCACCAACACCGAAATCTAGGATCATCTTCCCCCTCTGGGGGCAACCCCCTGTGTTGGTGTTGGTGCCGGTCTCCATGCCTCCAAGGAGAGAGCAGGGGAAGGGTTTGAGGAGGAGGTCGTGCGCGAGGACAAGGGGGGAGGAGGTTCAGTGGCCCCTGCCGCCGTGGGCGCGCTCCTTCTGGCGGCTGGTTTGCGGCCCCAGTCATGAGCACCTCCTCGCACATTCGCGTTTTCCGGGGTTGTGGATTTCAGGGGTGGACCTAAACGTTGTTTGGGCGATTTCGTGGGCCGTTTTCGTTTCGATATCGTTTTGCATTAAAGAGGTATTGAAGACAAAACGAGGGAAAATAACAAAGAAAACGAAAAACGTCGTTTCGGTTCGGTCCTGGTGGATGTGCCTACGTCGGGAAAGTCGTGTGGTCGTTGCAGTTCCAGGGGGGACAGTTCGACAAGAATTTGCCCCCACACTGCACGTCGGGGAGGCCAGAGCGTAGGGGCCACTCGGTGGATGCTGGCAATTAGGTCTGTGAGCTACCATCTCATTTGAAGCCGATTGAATTTGTATCAACTTGCGGAATGGATGGGGTAGTATGAAGAGAGCACAGGACGGGGCAGAGGAATGGACTTGTGAGTTGCGGAAAGACCGTGGTCATGTTGATGATGCGATGGTCAGCTTGCGCGTGGCGAGGAAGAGCTTCAAGGTGGAAGTGGAGACCGAGATCTAGACCGCAAGGCAGCGGGTTTCTCTTTTTGGACCCCTGTTACTGGAAGTGTTGGGATTTGGTTCTTGAGCATTGCAGCTAGTGTCGCTGACATATTCCCGGCACGAGTGTGTTCGCGTGGTATCTGAATTATGTGAGTCAGGCACGTTGTTGCGTTTACAGATGCGGGCGCAAATCATTTCCGTTGTTGTTTTTCATACGTTTGGCGAATAGATGGCGTTCTTTTCTCCAGCCAGTTGTGATGATTGGGTTCCCATTCTTTCCAGCCGTGGTCCAGCCCGTTTCGTTTGAGATGTTCTCGCAAGTCTTAGCTCCAACATGCCCTGACCTAAGAGTGGTCCAGCATGGCTCGCCTGAGGCATCATCGCAACTCTGTGCTCCGACATGCCGCACGCGAGGTGGTTGGGCCCGTTTCGCCAGGGGCTTCCGCGCAATTCTGGGATCGGAGATGCCGCGCGAGGTCGACTGGTTCCTGTCGCCTGAGACATCCTCGCGATTCTGGCCTTCGATGCCGCACGCGAGGTGGTCTGGGCCTTTTTCGCTTGAGACAGCCTCGCAGTTCTTGCATATAGATATGTATATACACATAGTCATGCACATTTGCACATACATATGCATATACATCTACATATGTACATACATATACATGTACATGTACATGTACATTACATGTACATGTGTTTATTTATGTATATATATACAGAGTTACATATCATCGTCAGACGAGAAACGGGGTCCCCAGACCCTGTCCTGCTCTATTTCCCAAACTCCCCCCCCTCGGGGATACCGTCCTGGCGGAGTCGAAGGCGGAGGCGGAGGAGGAGGCGGCGGAGGAGGAGGATCTGGAGGAGGAGCCCAAAGGGCCCGGTCTCCCCTCCCGTGGGAGAGACCTTGCCCGACGCTGGCCTCCTGAGCGAGCGCATTGGGACCATCGGGGTCTTGTCCTGGCTTCGGATGCAACTCTTGGGAGGTCAAATTCTGATTTAGCCCTGGTCCGAAATCCGCCTAATTCGGCTTAATCCCGCTTAATCCCGTTTAATCCGGCTTAATCCCGCTTGATACCGCTCAATCCCGCTTGATCCGAGGCCCCCTCTGGCGTTACAGCCCCCCAATGGAGCTTACTCCTCCTTAATCCTTCCGACGAAAACCTCCCAGTAGTTGCCTCCCAATCTCGGCGGAGTCCCGTCTCTTTTCGGGGCGCTTCCCGGCCAGGCCCGCTGGGTGGCTGCCAACAGGCCCCCGGAGCGAGCAGACCGCCGCCCCCGAGGGCCCAAGACTGCCCCGAGCTGCCTCGGAGACGGCCTCCGGGAGTTTCACGCGGCCCCGAGCTGCCCCGACGACGTTGGATCTCAGAGAGGAGGCCGCAGACCCGGAGAGGATGCAGAGGGATCTGTTCGAGGACGACCCCGGCCCCAGGCCGGAGGCATGAGCGCGTGGGGAGCCCCTGCCGGACGAGGAGGGGATCGCCCCACTCGTGGTCGCCCTCTGCTGGAGTCGCCGCTGAGGATCAGTATCGATTAACCGATCCCCATCCACATCCCCATCCTGTTCGAGACCCCCACCAAATTACCACCCCGGTTGGGGATACACCCCTCGAAACCCGAAGGGAGCGGCCTATATCCCCATCTAGGGGGGCTATTCGACCAGTGGGGCCCAGGCCACGCCGCTGGGGATGGGGGTCGGATAAACGATGCTCAAAGAAGCCTTCCGAACGGCAAGAGGCCACAAAGACGGCCCAAGAAGGCTCCAAGAGGACCGCCGACGAGCACCCCAAGAGGCCAACATCAGTCATTTTCCCCAGGTGTTTTGATGATTCTTGCATTCTAGCTCTTTGGGGCCTGCCAGGCTCCCGAAGACGGCTCAGGAGGCGCCCCGAGAAGGCCCAAGAGGCCCGCAAGAAACGTCAGAGGCCTCATTGGGAGCACCAAGACGACTCGAGAGGGGCCCCAGGACGGCCAAAAAGGCCCGCCAAGACGGCCCAAGAGGGACCCCTGAGCGGCCCCAAGAGGGGCCCAAGAGGGGGAGCACGAACCCACAAGTCCAGCCTTCCGCCCCCGCAAGCCCCCAGGAGGCCCAAAGAGGCCCCGAAGAGGCGCCGTGAGGCCCCCAAGAGGCCTCCACGAGGCCAGAAAGAGGCCCCAGAAAGCACCAAAACGGCCCCCAAAAGGCTTCCTGGGGGGGGCCAACGAACACCCCAGAGCCCCAGAGACCTGACACACAGCCCCAGCAACGAAGGCCGATACATTGTATGTGTGTATACTATATATATATATATATATATATATATACATATATATGTGTATGTGTGTGTCTACAGTATACAAATAGACCGGGCCCACTCCCGGGGCGTCCTCCACTTCGATAACATTTGGATTACGCTCCCTTTTCTGCGCTTTCTGGCCTCCCGGGGAGCCCCCAAAACGCCGAAGGACAGCCCAAGACGACCCCAAGAAGCTTCCAGAACGTAAAAGAACGGCCCAAGACGTTCCCAAGCATCCCAAGATAGCTTTCGGTCGGCTCTCCAGGCTCCCAGGAGGCCTCCAAGAGACCTCAAGAGAGAGCTCCGAGAGGCCTCCCAAGAGCGCGCGCAGAACCTAAAACCGTTAACGTTCGATTGGTTCTTCTAGGTTTTTGGCTTTTTCACCATCTCATGCTTCCAACGCTCCAAGACGGCCGAAGATGCCCCCAAGACCGCCCCAAGACCGCCCAAGAGGCCCCCGAGACGGCCCCAAGTCGGGCCAAGAAGGCCCCAAGACTGCCGAAGAGGCGCCCAGGACAGCTCCAGACCACCCCAGAACAGGCCCAAGATTGGCCCAAGCGAGAGGATTCTGGGACCCCCCAGAGGCCCCCAACACACCCCAGACCCATGAGAGGCCCCAAACAAGCCCCGACGAGGCCCCAAAAACAGCCCAAGAGAGCTTCGAGAGCCGTCCCGAGAGAGCGCGAAAAGGATACAATGATGATATCCGCTGGTTTCTCCTACGTTTTTCGCCTTCTCACGTTTTCCCGCTTCCAACGTTCAAAAGACCGAGGAAGTTGAAAAACAAATAATTCCAGAGATTTTTTTTCAAGTTCAACAAATACTCCCTCCCCCCTCTCGGGGGTCCCACACCTTCCTGGAACATCTGCGGAACGATCCCGGTACCGCGCGTTCCGGCCCCTGGGGACCTCCAAAACGCTTAAGGACAGCGCAAGACGATCCCAAGAAGCTTCCAGAATGTAAAAGAACGGCCCAAGACGCTCCCAAGCAACTCAAGATAGCCTTCGGTCGGCTCTCCAGACTCCCAGAAAGCCTCCACCTCAAAGACCGAGGAACGAAACAAACTGGAATTCCAGAGAATCCCTTTTTTTCAAGTGGGATTCCTATTCCATATCCTCTTCCTCCTGCCCCATCAAGACTTCTGGGTCACATGCACAGATTTTTCGGGAATGCTGTTGAACTCTCTGACGCTGTCTTTGCACTCTTGGATCGTCTTCGTGTCCTCTTGGCTTCCCCTGAAACCACCTTAGAAATCGAGATCCCATGATCCCATGAGTTGGAACAAACATAATGTTAGAATTCCCTTTTTTCCAAACTCTCACCCCATGCTTAGTTTTGCGGGAAGACCACGAGAGGCATCCCAACAGATCGCGGCTTGCATCTACAACATTTCGAACCCACAGGCCAGGCACGGCACTTGAAAATCATCCTGGCAACGGACCCAACCATATGCACTTGTGTGTGAGTGCCGCGTTGCTCTCGGTGGAGCTCTCCACGGGGCCACGATCCTCGTGAGGGGTGTGCCGAAATGGGCGGGGGGACGCGTGCGAACCCTGCCGCTGGGGCCTTCGGTGGAGCTCCCTATTGGGCCACGATCCTAATGAGGGGTGTGCCGGAATGGGCGATGGGACGCATGCGCGCCTTGCCGTTGGGGCCCTCGGTGGAGCTCCCTGTGGGGCCACGATGCTCGTGAGGGGTGTGCCGAAATGGGCGGGGGGACGCATGCGAACCTTGCCGCTGGGGCCTTCGATGGAGTTCCCTGTGGGGCCACGATCCTCGTGAGGGGTGTGCCGAAATGGGCGAGGGAGCACATGCGGATCCTGCCGCGGGGGCCTTCGAGGGAGCTCCCTGTGGGGGGGGGCCTGGGGCACCATCCTCATGAGGGGTGTGTCGAAATGATCGGGGGGGCGCATCCGCGCCCTGCCGCTGGGGCCCTCGGTGGAGCTCCCTGTGGGGCCACGATCCTCGTGAGGGGTGGGCCGAAATGGGCGGGGGGACGCATGCGGACCCTGCCTCTGGGGCCTTCGGTGGAGCTCCCTATGGGGCCACGACCCTTGTGAGGGGTGTGCCGAAATGGGCGGGGGGACGCATGCGGACCCTGCCGACTATTGATTATGCTGAAGACGAATTCGAAAAATGCAGATGACGCGGATGATGTTGACGATGATGATAATGATGATGATGGTGATAATGATGATGACGACAGATGGTCAAAATGGTGATGGTGATGGTGATGGTGATTGTCGTGGTGGTGATAGTGTTGGTGTTGGTGTTGGTGTCGGTGATTGCGATGGTGATTGTGGTGGTTATGATGATGCTGA